TAGAAAGAAGTAGAAATGATAGCTCGAAATCAGAAAACGATCAAAAAAGTAGAGTTTATGTTGAAATCAGTAGAAAATATGTTAGCTTGTACTTGTATACATCTCGACAACCATGTGGACATTTGTGTCAACTACTCAAGAGGATGATTCACCTTGTTGCCCGGAGAAATACGAGAGAGCTTTGTCAATAGCTGCTTGAATAGAAGTTAGTGGTGCAATAAGTAGAACATAAGTAAGTTTCAAAGTGAATGGAAATTATGGAGAAACAAGTAGAACAATACAGACACAAAACGGAAAGTCTTTATATCAGTGTTTTACACTGCAGCATGAAGTGTTGTCCTCAGGTGAAATGTCTTAAGTGACATGGTTTAAATGATTTATCAGGTAAGCAAGGTGTGCAAGTGGCCCCAGGGACACTGTTATGATCAGTAGTTTTCACAAATCTTACTGGTAGCAGTTTTGTTGTCAAATGGAGCCCTTTGCATCTAGGCCTTGGTCAGTGTATTTGGGGATGTATCGGAATGTATTGGCCTTACCTTCCTTTCCCTCCAGATGAGCCGATACATTCCGATACATTCCGGCGCACTCATCTACATGCGAGAAGAGATCAATAATCATGTCCCGAAATTGTGTCTTTGTTCTACGCATATTTCACACAACTTTACGCTTGCGCGGACAAAAGTTGGAGACAAGCGCAACCAACATGCAACCAACACCTCACGCTTCTTTCAACCAAAGCTACGGGAGAAAACAACCAGGAAGCCAACATGAACGCACCAATATGCAAAACAGAGCGTCCCTGGGCCGCTTCACAAAGCAACGCTTCACAAAGCAAACTCATCATTTATGTAGACATGAAACAAAAATAAGTAGTAGAACGCAATGATAACTATAAGTAGAAAACATGTTGAAGTTCTAAACGTAGATTGAGAAATAAAGAAGCATGGCCATAGGAATTTATTGAAATTATTTAGAAAATGTGCAAATTACTTAATAGCTGGAAATACACAATTTTCAAAAAACAACATATAGACTAAGTTAAGTAGCCTCTAAGATAAGGACTTTCAGTTCACAAGTTTCTTCTGTGCTCCCATGTGTAGGACCCTGGTACTCCTCGAACTTATAAGCTGCAAGGTGAACATATTGAGCTTATAACGTGACTCACAGAACCTATAGTACAACTTCTAGTTACTTGTTCACAGCCCAGCTAGCCTCAAGTACCAGAAACGAAACTGGTCATGTTCCAAAAGGGGAGCGAATGTCGCTTGCGCTGGACGATATTGTCTTTATGTTTCAAGAATATGTAGCTCCATCACGAGTTTACAATGTAGTCATTTTGTGCCACAAAGTTTCAAGTTTTCTGCGATAGGTTTTGCTTGAACAGTGGGAAAGGGAGGGCGCTCTCGTTGCATCATTTCTTGGAGACCTGGGTCAAGGCCCAACACTCTCAGCGTTGATGCCAACAATCGTTGCAGTGTTGGTTTGTATTGACTTTTCGGCTTGGTCTATTTTTCTCGTCCTTCCACTGGTTTCTTGCTGTCGGCCATCCTTTACCTTCACCACGGTTGTACTTAGGACTGGGTACTTTAATAAGTAATTTGAGACACTCAATGTGGAAAGACGTATAATCAAAAAACATTAGATAAAGGGGTCCAAAGTGGCTTATGATGGAGTGTTTTCACTTAGATTATGTAGTGGGCCCCCAGCTTGCACCGACTCTGCAGCTGGGCGCTAGGTTTGCGGTAGGCTTGCGCTAGTGTTTGACTTAGGACATGTTCAGAACGTCGTCAGGTTTTGAAAAGTGGCTGGCCCGCGGTAGCGTAGCAAACATGGCCAGATTCCAGCAATGGACCCTTCCAAGGCTGACTTGCAACACATCTGCTTGAAAGAAGGCACAGACGGGCACAGAGTTCAGACAGCAATGGTTCAATTTCCTCGGAGAGCAGATGAAAACGGTGCAGCGCTAGTGACACCTCTCACTGTTTGGCTCAAAGAGGAAGCCAATGAGGTTGACCTCGCTGACACCTTCCAAGCCTTCAAACCCAGCTACCGTTTGGACTTCCATCATGAAGGTTGCTGGGGAGCTGAGCTTGATTTCCTCCTCAAACGTGCAAGGATCGCCATCAGAGAGCTAAAGCAAAAGCGCAAAAATGCGATGATCATCTGCGTGGTTGTTTGGAGCGGCAACGAATTGGTCGGAAAGGGCGGAGTCGAGGACATTCAAAGCCCTTTACCGCAGCAGAAGGCGACGATCACATGGCTCTGCAGGACAAAGTCACTGAGTCGCTCATCGGCTTTTCAGCTGATTGCCATCGATATGGGCTGTGTGCCAAAAGTAAAGAATATGTAGCGGGCCCCCATGTGAACACGACATTCAGCCATTTTTGGAGGAAGAAGACATCTTGACCAGATCCCATGTGCAGATTTCGTGGCAGGCGCGGTACTTTGCGGACCTTGAAGTGTAGATTTCATGGCAGGCGTAGTACTTTGTGCGCCTTGAAGCGCAAATTTCGTGGCAGGCGCAGTACTTTGTGGACCTTGAAGTGCAGATTCAGTGGCAGCTGCAGTACTTTGTGGGCCTTGAAATGCACATTGCGTGGCTGGCGCAGTACTTTGTGACCTTGACTTGAAGTGCAGACTCAGTGGCAGGGGCAGTACTTTGGGGACCTTGAAGTGCAGATTCTGTGGCAGGTGCAGTACTTTGTCCACCATCACCACCACCTCCACCAACACCACCATCATCACCGCCACCATCTCCCCCCATCATCACCACCACCTGCGCCATCATCACAACCATCACAACCACCCGAACCACCATCACAAGTCAACATCATCATCACCATCATCGCCATTCAAGTTCTGCTAATATGGATTCCATCCTGGCTGAAGTTCCGCCTTCGTGAATTTCTTGAGGGCTGCTCTCAAATCCTGTGAGGGGAGGGTTCGGTTTTATCCCTGAGTGGAAACGAGGCCTCGGCCGTGAGCCTTGTACCATGGCTGTGTTTCAATTTGAAAAGCCTTGATGCTGGCGTGGCCAGACAGGTTCACTTGAAGCTTTGCCGCTGGGCGCAGCCAGACACAGGAAGCGACAAAGCTGCTCTCAAAGTGATCAAGTGATCAACGCCTACGCAACAATTCTGTGGGTCCTAGGGGACAACCATGCAAGCGCTTTCCAAGGTTGAGACTTGAGGCGCGCTCGCCAAAATCGTCCGCATCTTCACCTGCAGACACCAGTATGTACCGCCAGCTGTTGGTTCATGCAAGAACGTTGTGCAAGAGTCCCCACAAGAGTGTCCTGCAAGAGTGCCCCACAAGAATGCCCCACAAGTGTTCTACAACAGTGTCTTGCAACTTGGTAGATACCACTGGCCTGGGACCAGATGCCCGCCAAGGAGAAGACATCCTGGAGTTCTTGCAATCGCTGGCGACTTGGACAAAAATTTGTTTTGGACGTATTGAACATGACTTTGTTTGCAGGGATCCTTTGGAAGAATTAGTTTCCCTTTTGGGGTGGGTTCTTCAGCTTTCCAGACTCTTCAAATCCAAGCGTTTGTGGGAACCAAAGGAGTTGGTGGGTTGACTACTCGCTCGGGGAAAGTATGACCCAACCAGATGTCCACTATTGGTGGGTTAATTGATGTAGGGTTGTGCAAAACCAATATAGGTATCAATAGGTACCTGGCACCAGTGCCTTTCTACTAACGTCCCAAGCGAAGATATAAGGATATCATTGGTTTGCGGAATTGACCCATAATGGCATCAGCCTGGCAAGTTTCACCTGCCACCACCCCTATTCCATTCTTTTGCCGGGGCGCACATCATTGGTACTTCCCTGCGGGGCAGTGAAGCCGGGTTCGCGGGAGGCTCTTCGAACTACCCAGGATTCTGGGTGGACAGTTTGTCTAGATTGCACTTTTTCTTGTATCATGTACTGCATCAGTGGACGCCGACGCTTCAAGCAAATGGCTCGACCCTTTCACAACTTCAGTGGGCGGTGTTCTTCTAGGGGGGTATCAGTGTGCCATATTCTTCACGGGTTCAAAGCACTGCCGAGTGGAGGGATGCCACATCTGGCCACTCCCTTCCTAACAAGAGGACTTGTTCACGAAAACGCCCGGTCACTGCCGGACACACCTTCCACCGTCAGGATCCCAGTGGCAGTGGTTTGGGCCTCAGGGGTTGCCTCAGCATTCACCAGGAAGAACGTGGATCGCCTGCTGGAAAACGGTGAGGAAGTAGGAGGTTTTTTTTGGGGGGGGGATCGGGGGGATCCGGCGGGGTGTCCTCACTCCAATCCAACAGGTGGATTTCAGGTTTCACCTTGACGTTCCCGATCCAAAGGCGGCATGACATGGCTGGCTCAGGGGTCCGATCCCCAGCTCGCCCATCCAATCCGATGTTCTTTCTAATTTTCAGATACCAAAAACACACTGTGGTTTGGACACATGTTGGGGGACTCTCATCCATGCATTCCCATATATTCAGAGGCTGTTTGTTTCCACAAAGAATGAACCTCCTGACTAAGTCCGGATTGTTCCCCAAGGTCGCTTCCACCACGGACTGAGATGCAGAGTCATCCTTTTCGACCAGTTTTTCCATGTCTTTGGTGACAAAAAAAAATCAACGACTGCTGGTCGCTGGTAGGAACAACTGGTTGGCCCCCCCAGTCCCACCTGTGTGGAACAAATCCACGCCCAAATGGTCCAGGAAGAAAGATCACCAGCACGTGATTCATCGTGATTCATCACCTCATGGGACCGCAGAATCGGCTGAGAGCGCGCTGGTCAGTCATGCATCAGTCAGGTTGTGGTCAGAGAACGCAGTCGCGCACGTCAATGAACATTTGCCTTCCTTCTTTTGACACAAATCGTTAGCAGCTGAGCGCAATGGGTTACAGCCTAGTCTCCAATCCCAGCAGATCCGACATAGGAAACACAAATCATATTAATTACATGATAAGGATGTGCAAATCGCATGCATCCGCACTTCAGCTTGGTCGGGCCGCATCGCCGCAGTTTCGCAACCCCCCATTTAACAGCACCTATGGGTGCCCAAAGCGAACCGGGAACTTGAAGGAAATCACCGCGGACGGTGAGCGAGACATTGTCTCGCGCGTTGAAAGGGTGCCCACCGTTGCTTCGCGCATGCCCAAGCCGTTGCTTCGCGCGCCCAACCAACGAGCTCCTGGACGCACCTGCTGGGAGACTTGGCGCGCAGGGTACGGGTTTGGACTGTCTACTATTGGTTCGGGTCCAGATTCTTGTATTGAAAGATCGTGGACTTCAGCTAGCACCAATCAAGCTTAGGCCCTCAATGTGCTTGGGTGAACTGGAGGACCAGCGCTGGTTTGTTTCTCTTTGGTCAGTGTGTCAAAGGCTGTGTTTCTTGGGCACCACTCCCAGGATCGGGAGGAGGAGATGCCGGCAGATGCAGGCATCCAGTTGCTGGAAGCGATTCTGGCCGCTCGAATGAAGTCCTCAGCCGCTGAGGGAGGGAACATGACGGGGACGCCAGGGACCGGGAAGAGTGCGCAGTGACCGGGCACGGGGAATGGCGAGTGGGATCCCATCTTGGGGCGTTGGCTACTAGTAGCAAGGTCATCTTGGGATTTGCCCCGACCGGTCGTCGGAACATGGGAGATGCAAGACCAAGAGGAAGCATGGAGGTCGGATGCTAGGACAGGACAGGTGCAAGACACCGGAGCTCTTAGACCATCCGCTGTTGGCCTTGGGGCGTCCATCTGAGATACTCGACGCGGTACCAGGTCCATGCGGAATCAGAATCGCCGGTGCTTAGCGGATCCCAACTGGTCACTGGAACGGGTGGTCTGATGGCTTTGGTGCGCCACTTGCTTGGAAAATACGGCTCGAATACGCCTCGCATTCTACATGTTTGCACTACTTAGACCCCAAAGATACCTTTTATAGACTTCACCTTGCTAGGTCACCCCCCCTTGCTAGGCTACCCCCGCTTGCTAGGTCACCCCCCCTTGCTAGGTCACCCCCATGCGCTAAGAAAAACTCTCAAGCGCATCTCAGTTGGGTGGAGGCGCATCCGTCGGCGCATCCGTCGCAGACCGCGCCTGAGGTCCGTGACATGTCACAGGCCCAAGGCTTGCTGATGGCCAAGGTGGACGTCAATCGCGCCCTTGACACAATAGGTAGAAGAAACAAAACGGAGATGGGGTCCAGAGGATATGTTTTAAAATATGTGTGTTGCACCAGGCTGTTGTATTTATGTATAGTTGATAATTTGCTGTCACACAAAGAAGAGGCATCCGTAGATTGGCACATGTACATGACACTCCCCCCCAAGACCGATGTCCTCTACACACACACACACACCGTGCAGATCCATCCTGCCATATCCCAAACAAGCGTACTGAGCGGGCTATGACTTAGTCAGGTGACAATGAGAATAGAAACAGGATGAAATATAGACAAAAAGAACAACAAAAGACCCCAAATGTACAAGACCATGCTGGAGAGATAAAGGAGATATTGATATACTATAATATAAAAGTGAGACAGACAGGTGGTGCAACTAATATCCCGTTCGAGCCTCGACTGAGCTCAATGTGGGATATGCCATTTGCATTCAGGGAGAAGACCTTCAAGAATACTTTTCTCTACTAAACAGCCAAGTGTGTCACATGCCTGTAGTCTATATGTCTATAGACTCTATATAGAAATTCTATAGCAGCAACCACGAAAAACCACGTTTATGTTGTGTCTTTGGTCTTTGGCATCCTAAATGTGTTTGTCCAGTATTTGCCTCGCTCCACAAGATCTGTGCTCCAGAAAAAAAACGAGTGAATGACAAGGGTGGCAGCTGGTATCAGAGGCAAACGGAAGGGTAGTGCACAGAAAGGGTTTTGCAAAAACCTATTCTACTAACATCGTGGAATCCTGGAAGGCGCGGGACATTCGTAGAACCCAAGGCTATTCGTGGACAGTTCGTGGAATGGTGGGCCAGTAGGAGAACTGACTGCAACGAAATCCCAGAAACCTTCGCAGAACTTTGTGGAAGGTATTTTTGATGCACTAACTTCGTATAAGCGATTTTTGCTGACCCCCTTTCTCCATACACCCTCCATTTAGCCTTCATGGTAGGTGAGTTGCGAACAAAGTGAGTTGCTGCGAACGAACTGAGTTGCTGCGAACGAAGTGAGTTGCCAACGGACCGTGTTTTTTGGATCTTTTTGGGGTGCAGCTGGAGGCCCTTGGAATGAGTGGAGGATGCAGGTTGAATGCAATGTGTTTTTCATTAGCGATGCAATCAGAACCTGCAGACCTGCATAAACCGTGAGAAACTTAGTCTTAGTCTACATCCATGCGTTGAAGAAGGTGTCCAGAAAGCTTTTTGAACATCGTCCAAAAGCAGCCTTGTGTGGACACCTGTTTGCAAAGCCTTTTCGACAAGTAAGTGGTACGACCAGGACCTGCATGCGGGTTTTCACTGGCTTTTGCTTTCCCCCCTTCTCAGGTTACCTTGGTTGATAAGTGGTGTTCAATTGATTTGCTCCTAAAGTGGTCCAAACGAAATAATGTAACATAACAACATGTGATGACCGAGGGCATTTGAATGCATTTGCGTTGGTGCCTAATGGGTTCTGCATGTTTCTGCTTAGGTTTCTTTTTCTTTATTTGGGTAAACCTCGACTCCAATATTCACGACTCTTCCCACAGCAGTCGCATTGGGCCGCCCAAGACCTGTTTGGAATGCATCACCTTAGCAGACTAACATACCCAGAATCAGAAGACCACCCTGGGACTTCCCCAAGGCTGTCTTTATCGGTTGTGCGTTTTGTTGTATTAAATAATGCTAAATAACATATTGTGTTTTGCACACACAGTCGTACAGTTGAGGTGTTCGTTCCTTTGCTCATGTGCTCAGACCTCTATAGAAGGGCCGTCCACGTGGTTTTCACCGGGCCGTCCACCACCTTATCGCCGTGACCGTCCTCGACATTCCAGGAGTCACTGGGTCAATCCAAGTGACTCGATGAGGTCACAGGGACGGTCCCACCGTCGAACCTCCACAACGGTCCCCGTCCGGACGGACGCGTCCGTCCACGCAGCGACGTCCCGCCGATCTGCGCTCGGCGGCCTCGCGTCGCGGCGCTGGCGTCGCGGTCGAGTCGAGGTCACCGAGATAAGCAGCAGCGGACGGCGCTTCACTTGGCCGCCACCCAAGGGGTCGTGGGCTTGTGCAGGCGAGAAGCAGGGTCTTAGACCGGTATCTCTCAAGGGTCGGCACCGGGGGTCCTGATCAGACTGGGCTCGGATGGTTGGATGGTTGGATGGTTGGCATCTGTTTCCTTCGGAATTTGTTGTGCCATGCCCTTGACATGTGCCTTCACGTGCACACGTTCCAGATGTTCCCTCAACGACATGTTCTTGGACAAGTAGCAGCTTTTCCAGGCGATCATCTACCAGCACCTTCGAAGGGGTCACCAATGGAAGCCCCTACACTACCTAGGGATCTCCCCTTTGAAGCTCCAGGTAGGAACATGGCTCGGTTCGAACCTCCCGGTGAATGGGTGGACACCTCCCCACCTCTGCCGCGGACACCTCGGTCTCACGAGCGGAGCAACCGGTCCGCGGAGCCGGCCACCGGTCCGGTCTGCGGAGCCGGCAGGATGCTCATCAATCATGGCGCCGAGCTGGATGGCCAGGCCGAGCTGGATGGGCTCGGCTCGGATCTTAAGATACCATATACACCAGACCCCTACAGTACTGGTGAACAAATCGAGCGGGGGTCTGAATAGAACCTATTGGCTGGATCCGACATGAAGGCCACTTCCGTTCTGGGCTGTCACAATGAATTTGTGTTGCAGAGATGATGCAGGCAAGGCGGTAAGGCAAATTTGGAGTTCAGGTGATGTTGGATCAGGGGGACATCCCTGAAGTTGAGGAGTCGATTTGGCACATATATGGGTTTATTCATGTTTATTCCTTGTTGGCCAAGTCAACGGTGGTCATGTAATATCCAAGCAGAGAAGTTAACGCTACCCCAAAAGCTTTGTTGGGACATTCTCAACGCATCACGGTGCGTTTTGCTGACAGAATTGCTGGCCCTGAAACCAAGTCTGGGGTTGTTATCCTGTTTTATCTACATCACTTGGTGCATCTTTGGGGTAATGCAGACTCTTCATTGTATTTCAACTCCCCATATGAAGAGGTTCTTGCAATCCAAATGAGGAGGTTATTAAGCAAGAGCAAGAGTCTATACAGAATTGATTGTTTGCATGTTTCTTAGATTTGAGCTTTCCGACCCACATCTCAGCACGGAGGTACCTATGGGTTTGTTTGGGTCAAAGCCGTACTTCTCGCGTTCTTTGGTGATAATATGAAAGCAGTTCCCTTTAAGTCAGACACCAATGTCAACTCCAAGCAAGGCAACTCCCAGCAGTGCAGAAAGAAGGTATCCAGCTGTGTAATTCGATTGGGGCGAGCTCCCTATCGACCTCCGGGTTTTCAGGAACTGGACCATTGACCAACCCATGGGTCTCGGTCTTCCACGCACCAATTCGACCAACCGTGGTGTTCTTTGGCTCGCCTCGCACCCCGTTCTTTGGCCTGAAGTCCGTGCATTCATGAGCACCGATGGGCACGTTCCGCAAAGGTTGGAGGGAACCAATCCGACTATGTTGGATTATTTAGTTAATTATTCTAGGGGGTTTGAGGGGGGGGCCTACTAAATAATTTTATATCATGGACTCTTCCCCTTACGGCCCCTTCGGTTGTTTCTATTCGTGTTCTGGTCGCGGGGCAGGATGCGTTGGGGAACTCAGCTTTGCACCTGGCGGTCTTGGACTGGCAGAATTTGATGATCCGCGTGGCTCGACGTTTGGTGGGATGGCCGGTGGGACGTGGGGTGTTCAACCTCCCTCCCTCAGAGTCTTTTCCACACCGGGGGGAGTTTCAAGGATTCTCCGATGTCACTGAGAAACGACAGACGACGACATCATAGACATCTTCATTGCAGGAACGCCCCGGGCGTCGTGGGTCCGTCCACTTGGGGTGCACGACCACTTGGAGGCCCGGAGCTGCAACAACAACAGCAGCAACAGCAACAGCAACAGCAAGAAGAAACAGAACCACAACAACAAGATTAATGACCATCATGTATGTTCTTACATTGTGCCTAACATGCGTTGACGCCGTTTGTCCCCCTCTTCCCATGAACGTTTTGTGGCTGCTGGGGACGTTGCTTCTTACGCCGCTGCATCTGGGCCTGACCTGGAATGACTTGCTGGACTTGCACCGTTGGATCCGTCAGAAGTGGCTAGAGAGAGCAGAGGCCTTGGAGAGAGCTCAATGCTCGGTGCTCGCGATGAAAGAAGCCAGGGTCGAGGCGTGCGAAAAACTTGAAAACAAAGAGATATACCCCAGACGCTCCACGTATGCCATATATGCCTACATTGGGGTGGTTTTGGGGGTCAATGTAGGCAAATATGGCATACGTGGAGTCTCTGGGTACTGTATAGCTTCTTTTGGGGTTTTGCAGCTAGGTTCCTGTCTCCGATGTGAGACCGGCATCTGGAAGCGCCACCTCGCGGGTCCCGGTGTCAGTTGCCTCGTGGGACTGATTGAGAGCATTCTCACCCCACAGAAGGTCCACCTGGAACTCAGAAGGTTCCGAAGTCTCAGGTTTCGCACGCCAGCACCGTTTTGCTTCGCAAAGTTGTTTGTTCTTCGGAAACCTTGCCAGGAAGAGATGACCAAGTTTCGCAAGAGGAATTTCAAGTTATTCAGCCGTTGCTTTTCTCATTTGGATTTTGCATTGTCCGTTCTTATGCTTTACCAAGCCTGGGCAACCCCTGGGCTGGACTCAGCCACTTGGGCAACTTGTTGCGTAGTGGGCTACTTGCTCTTCACCGCGGTCGCACAGGACTTTCTGGAGCTGACTCCGCAGCCTGTCCCAGTGATGAAGGGTGTCATAGGCTTTCATGGGCATTTTCCGCTGTCCAAACAGTCTTCACAGTGTACTGTAGACTTCACAGTGTACTTACAAAATATGTTTTCACAGTGTACTTCGGAGATGGCGGCTCACTGAGCCGCTAGACTGAAGATATAACTATTGTGTTATATTTTGTTACTATTAATGAGTGGAAATTTGCAATGCTTCAGGAGCATCTGCCATGGGTGGCGTGTGGGTTCGCCTGATATATCTAAACTGCCCCAACTCGAAAGCCTCAATACAAATACACATAATTATATATTGAAACAAATGCAACAATGGGCTATAGCCACATTATATTCAATGTAAAGGCGGCTCAATGGGCCACAAAACCGAGTGTATCCCAAGTGTCTCAAAAGGTTGAACAAACATGTTTGATTACTGTGCGGCCCAATGGGCCGCATCCTAACATGGAAAAAAAAAAAACATACATGATAGGATCAGCGCACAGACACGAGAAGACATGCGAATGTAACAAAATGTATAAGAATGTAGAGGAATGTGTATATTCAAAAGTTTTGGAGTTATACACATATAACATCATATAACCCGCACAAATGACTTTTACATGTATAACTGACAAATGAAGTGTAAATAGTTTTACATTCCTATATTTTTGCGAGATTGAACATTTTCACAAAACTTTGTTCACTAATCTTCTTCATCTCGAGCTCCAAAAACGCTTTTGGCAACCAGGTCCAACATGAACCTGAACCATTCAAGGAAAATACAACCAAGACGAACGGAAAAAACTAGAATACGCAAACTACATGAACCATAAGTGAGATTGGCAGCTCCATGAGCCGCCCTCTTACATAACAGAGCACTTGTGGAAAAAAGTCGTTGGCGTTCTTTGTGTCCATAGAGATTTTGGCGGCTCCATGAGCCGCCCCCCTTATATAAAAGACCACTTCAAAACATAAAACCACACATTGTTGGCAGTCGTGCTTTAAAAACTTTGAGGTTCCATGCGCCGCACCCTTTTGTATCAAAACACTTGAAGGAAACGTTGTTAGCCGTTTGTGTTTAGGTTTTGGCAACTCCATGAGCCACTTACGTGTATAGGTCTGTTTTCTTCGCTAAAGACACCAGCTGCGTTGACACACAAACATGCATAACATATGAAACATATATAAATAACACATTTCCAAAAGACCACAAGATCATCAAGCAGAACAATATCCTTTGAAAACCAAAAATTTGAACGCTAAGGAACATGTGGGGTGGGGTGTGTGGACGGAGAAGGTGTGGGGCTGGGTGAGGGTTTGCACCAGCAGCCGCTCCGTGCCGGGCGTCGCGCGTGGGGAAAACTTGTTAACATGTGCTTGATACAACACACTGTACATATACCAGCACCGACTTCACAGGTCACCAATTGAAACCTGTTAAGGCCTAACAACCCTCCAAAGGAGACCTGTTGGAAGGTGCTGGTATATGCATATATATCGAAATAAACATACGTAGAGTGTTTGGGCAAGCGGCTCTGAGCAACCTCCCCTGCATCAGTTTACCAGTCCTTTTTCTGGCCGTTGTTGGGGGAGCCTCTTTGGGTGCTGGAGCCTCAAGGATGATGTCGGAGTGTTGAAGTATGTAAATAGAATTAAGGGATTGGTCCTCACAGATTGGGTGATTCGAGCAGGCATGGTTTAAAGCAAGCAGCCAGTCTGAGGTTTTGAGGAGTTCATTGGTGGCAGGGGGGGTTGATGCCTAAGTACTCCTTGCAAGTTGCCCTTTAGGTTGGATGTTTGTGAAGTGGTGTCGTGTGGGTCTTGAATGGTTCATGGATGACAAGAGTACCCCAGCATGTGGGGGGGAACCACTCTCAGTCATGGTTGCGCGTGGAGCAGTGGGTGTGGCTTGAGGCATCGGCTCAAGTTCATCACCTACTTCTTGCATCTAGCTGCGGTGGCATCCTTTGTCTCTACGGCTTGGTCTGGCGCTTGGCTGCGATCTACGATGCAAGGATTTCACTCTGCAGTACGCTTCTGCCTGGTGCTGGCACTCTTGGATCCCAAAATCACAATTCCTTTCCAAGTGCTGTACACTCTCGTCGAGGTGCTTCTACATGTTTGTGTGATGGAGGATGGCGATTTCTGGGTGCAACTGGGATCCTTTAGCTCAGGGCAACTCTTTATTTTGGTGGAAACCATCGCCTCATCAGTCTTCATCGATATGGGACTTCGTGGGCGCATCTATGCACAGCTGGACACTGCGGATGCAGAGTCCTTGCTTGGCAGCTTCCGGAGACTCCTGCAAGGTGGGACTACAATTGAGGGGCGTTCATCAACACGACCCAGATGACAGGTGTGGTACTGTATATATCTACAATAATCTACACTTAATAAAACAATCATTAGCATTAGCATTAGTATCATACATTGAACCCCGAAGCATTCTAAGCTGGGCAATAGGCCTGTAGAGCATCTATATAGACTATGAGACAGCAAAATTTGCAGGATAATTGGGCTTCAGTTTGTCTCGACTAGCTACTGTATATGGTCATCCACGCGTTGCTTTGGAGGTTTCAACAAGGGGCCCCCTCCTCTACGAAGGTTTTTTTCACATCGCCTTCTGTTTTGCATTTGGGACGGCATTGCGGTGCCTGAATAGGTGTTTGTGATGGCGAGGTGCTCTTGGACAGCCAGATGAATGTGGCTCAGGAGAGCCAGTGTTTAAAACATCTCATTCTCACTGATGTAAGTCTTCAGGGCCGTTCCTTTGAACATCTACTTCTCGATGATGAGCAGCTTACTCGCTTTCGCGAATTTGTGGAGGCCTCGATTGATGCTGGGCCGCAGGAATTGAACAAATGCGGGCTGACATGTCCTTTTTTTTGATGTTCAGTTGGACTGCCGAGCACCCCCTTTTTTGTGGTAATCCTTACCCACAGCATCCCACAGCTGTGACAAGAGGGACGTTAGTGAAGGCCTAGTCCATTAAGACTAGCAGAATCTATTAGACTCATGGGAATCAAGACCACATGAGTCTCAACGTCTAGACGTCTAGAGTCATCAAACTCATGCAAGCCTTTCATCTCATCAAGTTCTAGCAGGTTTGTGTCATTTGTGACCTGATGCAAATCCCAGGAAGCTAATCACGCCCCAGAGACTAAAGGCACAACTCCCTTGTGCCTGCGGGTGTCTTTTCGTGGCTCTGCTGGCATTCGCGTTGCGACGGATATTTTCCACGTGCCTGTTCCAGGCGCAGCGATCAACTCGAAAGTTAAGAAGTACACATCCCATGTGTAGTGAGTGTAGTGGCCGTCATCTTCAGTTCCCAAAACCAATATCAACCAATGTATTTGGGGTCGATTTGTTCAGGATGTTGCATTTTATGTCCTCCTCCTGGTCGAAGACACCAATGTGTTGATTGCAGATCTTGCAGGACTCAAAGAAGACACGTATTCACTATCATTCAGTTAACTGAAGAGGGCTGAGGGGAGGGCTTTGGCGGATTTGGCGGAACTCCTGAAGCCTTCTGGGAGCGCGACGGGGTCTTCCTGTGGGCCGGTCAACTGAGGCAGAGATGTTGGTCCGATCAAGGTGGCGCTCCAGTTTTTGGGGGTCTAAAGGTTTGGATGTCAAAAACGACTCTTCCCGGCTTGAGAAGGGGCCAGGAAGTGGCACGGATCCTGAAGAAACTGGGTCCGATAAATGGAAGGTTCCGGTCTCGGGGAGGAGAAACTGTGTGATTTTCCTTGCTTGGTACGCTCCCTATAAGTCATCATAGAAGATGGACGTGGAACATTGATGAACATGGCTGCAAAAAGGAAGACGATGAGTTCCTCAAAACCAAACAGGTCCATGAACTCCATGAACTCCACGTCACATCCATGAATTCAGTGCAAGGAGTGCGTCTGTGCGTAGAGGAGATGTTTTTTGCCTCCGGTCGGCGGGCAGGCCTGTTTGGTGCCGATGAACCCTACCATCTCATCGCATTCAAAGAGGATCCTGAGTCTCGGCCACAACCTGAAGCTGGGGAAGATGCCGTGCCATCGGTGCTTTTGCATACCAATCCAGGCAGTCATGGGTTGCGCAAGTCGCGGGCAGACTCCAACTCCATGTCGGGAAGCACTGGAAGGTCGCAGGAGGAGGCCTTTTGTACGGAATTGAAGGAGATGACTTTGCTCCTGGATGTCGATTCAGAGCTGCTGGATGTCCTCGAGGTGCATTTGGGGTTTCAACGTGATGAGCGGCCGAACGACCTTCCTTCTGCCTTGCAATCGACCATGCCCAGCTTGCGTAAGCTGGTCAAACCCACTGACTGGGAGAAGATTCGGTCAGCAGCACTCAAGTTTACAGAGACTCAGCGAGGCTTTTAGAGACCTTTTGGTGCCCTGCTTTGGGTAGATGTTTTAAATGGAGTCTAGGGCCAGGAAGTCTTAACATGTCTTAACTCAATTCTACGGCCAGTCCCATTGTTCAAGCGAGGAGAGGTCTTTGCGTGACCCAAACATTCAACCCCGAGTGCACAGACAGATGTTTTGTCGCCTGCCGGGCTCCGGCCGGGCCATTGCGGATGAAGCCGCCTTCAAGCGCTTCCCCAACGAAGACTATCCGGGGCACAAGGTGTGGTTCCACGTGTCGGGCTTCCGCCCGGACGTCCGCCGGTCCTTCTGCCCCAAGAATCCGCTCGTCCAAATCCAAGAATCCGCTGGGACGGCGGGGCGCGCCGGGCTGCGTGCCCGGCACCGATGAGGAAAGACAACAGGTCTCATGATGGATGTGAGGCGCACGGCACCTGGCATCACCTGGCAGCGACCGGGTGGCTGTTTTCGAAGCCGAGCCTACCAAGCTCGAGAGGGCGGCGCGGCGGCGCTTTCCCGCTCCACCGCCCCGTGATCGGTGACAGGGGTGAGAGCCACTGGGAAGTTTGCCATTTGGTTTGTGCGACGCCTGGCTTGCCGCAGCCCTTAAGCCTGAGAAAGGAGAAAGACCGAAGCTTGTGCCAGCAGTCACAAAGGGGTGCGATCCATGGAGGTTTGGGGTGCACATTATTCACTCACTTAGGGACTAAATGCAACTCCTTTGTGACTCCTGGTGCACGTTCTTGTTTTTCATGTCAATGAATCTGGTGGTCTCCACAGAGTTGCTTGGAGCTTCCCTTCTTTGCAGAGGCATTCTTTACCAATTACCAACAAGGGCCAGAACAGTGGAGCACGCGGACTTCTCAACAGCATTTCCACCTTTGAGCACTTTGGGCTTCCCCCCCCGAAAGGAGTGCACTCACCTTGCAGCCCCAGAAACCGGGGCCCGAACTCCCACCGACTGGGCCCCAGGTGATGCTGGAGGCCCAGGCTTCGCCGAACTTGGTGAATGCCACGGGAGAGACTCCACTCATGTTGGCGGTCAACGCAGGCGCGACGGAGACCGGAGACCGGACTGCACCGGTCTTGGGGAGTGGGCCGGAGTGGGGGTACTCTTCTTCACTAAGGGAAAAGCCAACGTGCGTCCACTTAGCCCAGAAGTTCTTAGAGGCTTCGTTCCTTGGACGTTCCTTCGTTCCGCCGTTCCTTCTGACTCCCCCCCCAAAAGCCTCGAGGCAACATGCAGGCGATGCAGCTGCTCTTGGACGCCAACGCCTCGGTAGATTTCACCAGTGCTGGTCCTGTGGCTGAAGGAGGCCAGGAGAATGGAGGGCGAGCTGCCAAGTGACCTGAACAAGGGACCCGGGAGGCCCGCCTGGGGTACCTGCTGTATGGGAGAGTCGAACTAGAGTCTAGAGGGTTCTTCAGCCTCTGGTACCTGCTGTCTTCTGATATTTAGGATTTACCAATTTGATCACTGGGGGTGGTTGATAACAGCGGTCTTTTTGGGGTGGCGTCGCTGGGTCTTTCTGTCACAGTCAGGTGGAGCTGAAAGGGGTGGACCGGAGCAGAAATGGGGTGGACAAAAGATAAGGTGATGGGATCCCAAAACGTTGATAAATGATGGAACATGACGAAAGAGCCCCACAAAAAGAATGATCAAATGATCAATTATTATTTTATATAAATAGATTTAAATTGTATAACGTCTGCGAAACTTACAAAATCAAAAAAACATCCTCCAACCTTTCCACCTCAAAAAGCATTCTTCGACCCAAACATGCCAAACATGCCAGGCTCGGTGCTGCTGCGCGCGGTGCAGCGGCAGGTGCTGTGTGAACTTGTCGAGTGACTTGGACAGAACGGTGATCCGAAGGGTTTGGAACAGCGGTTTGGCACGACTGGAACTGCATGAATTCCGTGGGTTCCGAATACATGTGTTCCATGGGATGAAGTCGGATGAAGCTGGAAGTGATCTTCGCTTTTATTGGACGCATGCGTGGGTATGTGCGGTATGTGGCGACATTTTCGGGATGTGGGTTTGCGGGAGTGTCTATTCCCCAGTGACTGACACGAGGCTAAGGTGTCGGACCCAGATCGCTTCCATGATGTCAATGTGATCCAATGTGGCTTTTGCTTCACCGATTTGGCAAGCTTTTACCGGAAAGTGATAACAAAGCTCAAGAAACCAAGTCAAGTGATCAAGAAAGCTGAACTTGATGTGTGGTCAACTGTACCGGGTGGGGGGGGAACCAATTCCTCAACCGAATGGACACCAGTAGAGGACAATGCCGTTTCGGGCGGTGCATCTGCCGAAGCTCGCTGCTGTTGATGTGCAGTTTCAGAACCTGACAAATGCTAAAAAGACACGGATAAATGCAAAAAGTGCATGATATAAGACAAGACTATAGTGTGTATAGTGCTGGCCAGGCAGACAATCAAAAGGTCAACAACACAGCCTGCAGCTATAGATAGACCTGAGTGGTTTCCTAATTAGACCATTCGATGCACCAGGTCCAAAGGGGGGTTGTGACCCATCTCCAGATCGGGGCTCCATGCCCCGTGCAGCGAGCATCGGATGGTCAGTACCTCATGAGCTGGGTGCATCAGGGTGTTTGTCATGGAGTCATGGAAGCCCTCCCCTTGAGTGAGGCAGTTGGCAATTAAGGGTTGTATTTGTGTTCGTGCTCGTTGCGCTCGTTGCATTCGATTTCGGCCACCGAAGAAGCGAGCACCAGGAGTCACAAAAGGGTGGTGTTTCATCGAATCCAGTGAGTTCATGGGCACCCCGACTACCTCCATGGATCGCACCCCTTTGTGACTGCTGGCCATGTTTTTTGGTTGGGGGGCTGCGCTGGGCGAAAGGCGACACGAATCAATGTGGGACGATGCACGGAGTGAATGGGAGAAGTTAAGAGTGATTCATCACCCGCGTCGATGTAGATGTAGGTACGTCATGGTACGTAAACGTACCCTCCCTCCAACGATATCCAACAATCATGGAAGTTTCTCAGAAGGTACTTGGAGGCCTAGGTCGGGTATTTGATCATATATGATGATATTGTGATTATGAATGTCCCCGCCCCCCTTTCATACATTTGGCTGTGCATGGGTTGGTGTGTTCCCTTCCCTATGCATACAATTCTAGTCTTGCTGTCCCCCCACCTGTCATACATATTCTGGACCCGGTGTGTCAAAAAACACGGAAATTACCGCCACTGTTGGAAAAACATGTCGACACCTGCACCCCTCTACCTGCATATGTTCTATTTTCTGACAGCCCGTCCCTTTGTGACAGTTAGAGCCCGGTGATCTTGATTCCTTTGCTGAAGTTGATGGCCTTTTCCAAGACCTGACTATATATCATGATCCTTCTACCTCGTATCGACCTGCCGTTCTTCAGGCTTCCTTCCACAGGGTCTCCTCCCATCATCCGCATCCCCCCCGCATCCTCCCGGCCTGTGAAGGGAACCGATCTCGGACTCCCCTCCTGGATCACGAAGCGCCGCGCCGCGACGTCGAGGCTCTTGTTGACGAACCGGGCAAACCTGGAAGCTCGAGACCAGGAGGAGACGGAGAAAGAGACGGCGGAGACCAGGTGAGTCCACCAGGGAAGTGTTGACAGTGGTTCAGGTGGAGACCCTGGAGTTTCAGTGTGTGGTTTTTGTGGATGATGGTTTTGTGGGTTTGTGGCTGTTTGTGGCTGTTGATGTAATTCGAGACACCATGTGCTCCGTCTGGCCCTATGGTGGTGGCGGGCACGTCTTTCACTGTGGGGTCGGGCACGGGCGTCCCAGGGGGGCTCTCCCTTCGTCATTGAGCCCTCGCCGTTCGAGCCGACGCTAGGAGTACGTCACATCGGGCATCCGACGGTTTGATGCGAGAACGGTCCCGCCAGGAGAACAGCCCACTTCACCTGGCAGTGCAGTGCCGGGGCGAAAGAGAGAGAGAGAGAGTGCAGCGCTTTCCCTGATGAGACTTGGTGCCCGGATGGTCTTCTAAAGGAGCGAACCAGACCTGACAGGTTGCCAGGTCAGAAGTTGAGACCTGGGAATGGGCCCAACAACCCAACCAATGACCTGGAAGGTACTGACAAGGGGTTTGTAGATGGAGAAGATATGATAAGATGAGGTGCTGCGTCCTAGCAGCTTAGTATAGGTTTCCTTACGCCAGCGGTGGTGGATGAAGTAATTCGATGATACAATATATTCGAGCTAATGTGAGACTTGACTAGTTAATGATATAATAATACCCTAGGCGGAAGTACCTTCTCAGAAGGTACTTGGACCCTCCAAACCTACACAACAGTGTCTCCAAGTACCTTTTGAGAAGGTACGACTGGATTCTAGAGATAACTGTAGCTTATTGTAGCTTGAGTATTCCATAGTATATATAGGACAAGTGACTTCACTGAGACACAAAGTTCCAAGGTCGCACCAAAAAGCCACCTGTGGACACAAGCCGAAGATTCAGATATCAAAACTGAAGGCCATGGCAAGTCCAAGTCCCTGCCCCCCGCCATCAACTTCCATCCATCCATTTATCCATCTCCCAAAATCATGAACTATTTACATATACCCCAAACTGCACCAAAAAGAGACGTGGCCAAATTCTTGCATGTTCAAAAACACTACACAAAAAAACATACAAAACAAATATAAATATCTTTCAAAGAAACCATCTCCCACCGGGCGCGTTCCCAGGAACGGCGACCCTCGTGTGGCGCGCCTCTTGCTGGAACGTCGCTGCGACGTGGACGCCTGCAACGCGGTCGGTCGCACGGCCGTGCACCTGGCGGCGGCCACGGGGTCGGTGCGGAATCTGCGGCTGCTGGCGGAGTACCGAGCCGACTGTGGGAGCCGCGGAAGGAACGGACGGATGGATCATGAATGTTTGGACCCAGAGGAAGATGAAGGAACTGGGAGAGCCGGCCTGGATCATGGTCCAGATACAGAGAAAGAGAGACATAGTAGACGAATCAGTTGTCATGTGTTCTTTTTCTTGTGACTATAATTATGATATTTGATGTAGAAGGTGAAGGAACAAGAACTCCACCAGTGGGATTTGTGAAACCGTTTCATTTATGTAGAGGGGTTTCATTCATTAACAGTCTACCTTACTCTATGAAAATGATCCTTGGGGCGATCGTTTTGATGGCCAAGCAACAGCCTGAATAGGCCAGAAGAGGCATGACCAAGCAGCCAAGCACAGCGATGCTTTTGTCTCCAAGTGATTTTGTGGGGTTCAACTACCCTTGCTTGGTATGATAAAACTTGATTGAACCATAATATTGAACCCAGAAATATGTGTTTCAAGTGAGTTGACACCACCAACCAGATGGTGTTGGGAGACTGAGGAGGTGATTTTTTTGAGAAAGACCATGGAACTGCGTCTCAGCTGTCCCCTGCTAAGCTGCACCCTAGTAGCATCCGTGCCTTGCTACAAGTGGTTTCTGAAACTCTTTCAAGCCGGGCCGGAGGGGCAAAGAAGATCAAAGAAACAAAATAAGTATAGTTGTTCTGAGGGATGATCAAGGCTGTACTCGGCTGGGAAACCATGACTCACCAGATTTTGGGCTAGTGTTCGTTTGAGAGAAGGTGTTTGGGGTGGGTTTGGAGGGTCCAAATACCTTCTGAAGAAGTACTTGTAGGGTATATAAGTGGGTTCAGGGGGCCCAGGATGACCCAGGAACAGGGACCCAGCATGTTCGACTGTCATAGGGTTTTCGGATGCTTCGGATGGGTTTCACCTGGTTTGGCGAGCCCTTGCAAGTGAAGGGTACTAGGGAATGAAACATGTGGATGTGTTTTTTGCACCTGGCCAGAGGTGGAATGGGCCACCTGCAAATTTCCTGAGTTGTCATCGATCGCCCCACCTTCAAAGGTGACCTGGTTTCTTCCTGTCTCCAACAAAGCTCATCAAACACCTTCGGATCCCGGCTGAACATCAGGCCACCATCCTGGTGGTCCTGGCTGAACTACCCCCCTGCAGACGATCCCATTGATCCTGAGAATTGATCCGTGGTTTTGATCGTTTTCCGAATACCAACCCAGTGGTTTGAGAGTTCCATGTGAGTCTCTACAGAGGAGGTACATACCCCCGAACCCCCACGGATGCCACAATCTCTGCACATCTCCGATGGCTCCCAAATTGTTTAGCCCAAGGAAGCGAGACAATTTGGGGATCTTACCGATGCAGTTGGCGACCTCGACATGCCACTGGGCAGAGCCGAGCCATTTTCTCGACATCCCAGAGATGACAGGAAGGGAAACATCACCCACTGCTTAGTTTGGTTGGCTTCAGGACCTGAGTATACTACCCTGGGATTCCAACAACCACTGTTTAGACTACAAAAATCCAGGTCAACCTTTCTTGTGACTGGTCTTTGAAGGCTGGGGTATATAGTAAAGTAAGCTGAGCCTTTTGATTCTACTAGTTGGTTTTTTGTTATCTCTTAAACATGTTCCTACTCTATATCGGAGAAATCTATTCCAAAGCGCCGGGGATTCGCCGAAATGTGCACGGTATATCCCTTACAGATCGAAGCTGCAAGACCAACCTCCTCTCAGATGATCGAATCTTTGCTTTGGCATATCCTACGTACCAAGAGAGGTAGCCAGTGACCTGAACTAGGACCCGTAGCCTGGGGTACCCAACTGGGATAGTCTAGTTCGGGTTCTTCAACCTTTGTTGGTAGGCATTTTGCCAGTCACAGCTTCAGCCGAGTTGCCGAGGCCAGCGAGTCTTGCAGGAGCTGGGTGGTTACGACTCTGAGAGCCCCAGTCATTCCGTCAGCCCGAACCACTTTCCGCTGGCGGAGGGCGGGGCCTCTCGGTGAAAAGCGCGCGCACACAGCGGTGTGGAAACGACTGGGCGGGAGGAAAGACCCAGGGCGGTGTTCGAGCGATTTCGGGCGTGGTTTTGGAGCAAAGGGCGTGGTTTTGGGGTGAAGTATTGATGGTGGGATGCGTTGGTGGCTTGAAGCAGATTGAGGATTTGCCAAAACAGGGTGGACTCGGTGATGTTTTCGAGGCCGTGGGTGGCTTGGTGTCTAATGACAAAAGGTTATAAAGAATCCTCCAGACTCCAGTCCCCTTGCTTTTGGGTGCCTGTGAATGAAGGTGGCAAGGTGCTTGAGCACCTGGTCTTGGGCTAGGCTAGCACCTTTGGTTTTCACAGGTTGGTTTAGAAACAATGATATGGAGAGTTGGTGGTTTGTTTGATGCTACCTTGAACATTGCAACTTATATAGATTGTGCCAATGCATGATGCATCCTATGGGTTCCCTCGACAAATTGCAGACAAGAAATGCAACCTTTCGGGCAAATGCAGCTATTGGCCTGGGATAGCAGACCATTTTTATTAGTTGGAGAAGCAATTCCAGCTGAGAATTAGGCTGAACATCCTGAATGGTGTTCACTTAAAACAAGAATACCTAAATATCTTTTGAGTAATATGGGAGTTCAGTGGAATGACATGACGCTCGGTCTCGGTGAACCCCAGCAACCTGAATTCTTATAGTACATCCCTTTTGCGGCTTCGCCGCTTTTCCTCGAAGCCCACCCGCCTCGCGAGGGTTTGCGCGGTGGGGGGGGTTCACTCAGCCGAGGAATGGGCCATGGGCCCCAAGGGCGGTGGCGTTTTCCCAGCCGGACGATTTCAAGTCGTGCCACGGTGGCGTTTCACGGTCCGCAGTGCCAGGGGGGAGCCGGTGGCACCGCTGGTGGGGGGCGGGGATCCTGGAACAAGGCGAGGACCTTGGCAAAAGGAGTTCGGCATGGCTCTATCCAACAACAAGTCCAAACCATTCCAGGTCTACGTACCAGACCAGCTCGCAGACCAGGAGCAGCTGAAAGCCGTAAAACGGAAAAAACATAATTAATATATTATTACTATTGCATGTAGACAGACACTTGTAAGCTGCAAGAGAATGCAATCTGTTCGTGTCTTTTTGGTCTCCCCATCTCTATGATGTTGATTGATTTTGTGCAACATCTTGTATATTTATAATATCACATATTCAGACTTCAACGGATTTGTCACCCAACACCGCATCTTGGAGGATGTTTTGACACTCCATGGGACTGCCAGATTTGGCTGTTCTCACTTGGTGGGGGGGTGGACCTTTCTGGCTCGGCAGCCCCTTCCTGGCTCCCACGCGCTCCATCAACCGAAGCTGAGGAGCCGGACCTCGCGAAGCGATCCAGTCCGGAGAGGTCTCCCCTGAGTCGTGCGCGGCTACGGGGTCAACGCAGCTTACCTCTTTTAGAGGCGGCGGAGTCTGGTAGGAGGATGCACTCACCACATTTGTACAAGAAGGCCAGTGGTGGAAATCTGCCTAGACTTGCTTGGAACTTGGAGCCCAGAAAGAGGCGATCTTGCTGCGAGGTGTGATCGAGGGCGCAGGGGTCCTATCCTAGCCACCTCGATTGTTGAATCGAAGGTCGGTTTTGTGTCAAGGAGAACTTTTGGAAGAAAAGCATGTCTCAACTCAATTGTCCAAATGATGTTAAATTGCTCCATGTTTCTACAAAGTACTTTTAGTTTAGTTCTCACACTTCCTCCAGCAGCTGCCGAGCCCGGTCCCGGGCGCTGATGGATCCGATTCTCGCTACCGGACGCACCGTAAAGAAGAGCGCCCTCTGGACGCACGCACCCTCGGTCCAACCGTCAACAGGGTCCAACTGGTCCCTGAAACTGGCTACTGAGCTACTGTACAGATCACCTTGGTCGCGGGGTACTAAATCAATGGTGGTTGGAATATATAATTATGTTGCGATCCATTGGGAAGAAAACATTTCCCAGCGCTGGGAGTGCAACCCCCAGTGGTTTTAGCACTGTTGGGCCAGAACGACTAGTGACCAGAGCCTTTTCAACGCTCAAAAAGGTGAAGGAAAGCACGTCTTGTGCGAAGCACCAATGCACTCTTCGATGCCTTGTGAATCTGGTGAATCTGTTTGTCATTGGACCGGGGAACGCACTTGGTGTCGGGTCTCGTCCATGACCTCGAAAAGAACGTGTAGCGCCCGAGCACTGCACAGGCTTGGTCTCCGAAATAAGTCAAAAAAACAGGGAGGCCTCCCCGGCACCGACCCCCTGGAAGACGGAAACCACGCGGAAGAGTGCCATCGAACAACCATCATTGTTTTACTATAAGGATGTTTCATAAAACCAGGTAACTATATGTTCAACCTTTGATTTTTCATGGAGCCTGGGCTACAGCATGAGCCAGCCTTTCCCGTCCAAACCCCGGCAGAACTGCCTGTTCAGTTCCCGGACGATGCGGCGTGGGGGACGGTGGAGTGGACACCTCAGGCTGGTCGAAACAAGTGAGGGGCGAGACGATGCCTTTAAGTCCATGAGTCGCTGCCGGCGGCAGATAGCCGGCCCGGACGCCCGGACGCGCAAGGGGGAGGAACGGGTTCGAACTGAGAGAAATCCACATGGCAGCACCATCCAAAGGATGGTTATTATGTCATTGGAAGGACAAACACATAGTCTCGGGGTTTGCTGCTGCTGCTGCCGCTGCCGCTGCCGCTGCCGCCGCCGCTGCCGCCGCCGCTGGTGGTGGTGGTGGTTAGTGGTGTAGTGCCTTTTTACGTGTCTTTTCACCAATAACCACACAATGTGTTTATCATTTTCAATGCACTGATTGACATGTTTGCCCCTCCCCACTGCCATGTGTCTTTTGTTCACCTGAGCACGCGCATTTCTGCCTGAAAGTCATCATTAAAGATATCGAATACATGGCATAAAGTTTTTTGAACATCGAAACCAAACCACCGCCCTCCAAGCTCCGAGGCGAGGCTCAGAACCTTCGGTGTCGCAGCTTGTACACAGATCGTCATGGCGCCTCAGAACGGCGGTTGGTCGTTAAGGAGAAGCTGTTTCAGTGCGAGCACCGCAGGATGCCGTGAGAACAAGGAACACGGGGTACATCAACCCAAGGTCATGTGTGGTACCAGGAACATCCTCTAAAACAGAAAGTCGAAAAAAAGGGCACAGGATTCTCAGTCTTTTTTGCTTCTGTTTGAGGTCTTTGATTCTGCCAAAGCAGAGGTGCCAGACAGTTTCACCAAGCTTCACCCGGCAACAAACCACCGGTGGCTGTCGGGCTGTCGTTGCGAAGTCCGTCGGATGGACAGCGGAAATGGTGGTGAAACCACTCCGATCTCAATCACATGGAAGTGGATAAGCTCTGGTTTGAAAAGACATATAGATAAGCTCTGTTAAGCCAGAGGATCAAGGTATGTCCTTAATTTTGATCCTCTGTTTAACCTTGATCCTCTGTTTAACAGATGTATCCTCTGGCTTGAAAACAGATGATAGACCAGGTCTTCCCCCGTTGTCAATGTTCCACTTCGATGTCAGTGAGTTGGATTGTAGCAAGTGCTGTGCACATGCTGCCTGCAAAATCCGATGCAATAATGAATATGTTTAGTGTTCTTTGTTGTTTGCCTTCGAATTTCAGAAGAATTGCCGTTATTGCTTTGTTGGTGGTGTGGCTGTTCCATGCCAGTCCTGATAATAAGCTTTGATGTTGCTGTTTGTTCTAATGCCTCTAGTTGGAGCTGTTTGCGTTGGTGTTGGGATCGTGGATGTTGTGGTTGCAGCTTGTTGATGGTTACAAGTTGTGTGTGTGGGCAAATGTGCTGAGGGTCGGCATGAAGCACTTCCCAGAGTGCCAACATGGTGCAGCAGGGTAATATAGCATATTATAGGCATTATACATGTTTGTATATGACATGTCCCAAACACTCCATGTATGCAATATTTACCTACATTGACCCTTAAGACATCTTAAAATCACCCCAAAGTATGCAACTATGGATTATTAGGGATATGAGCTAGGCTCAAACTATCTCAAACTTAGTGAAAGTGACGAAGAGTCCGCGAGTGGTTATTGGATTTGAACATGCAATTTGTTTCCAAAGAAAAAACAAACACGCTCACCCAAAACGATATCCGATACCGTGACGAACGTGAAAGCCACCAAAACCTGATGACCTGCAACTCAACACTTTTTGACCCTTGGTCATATTTGGTTGTTTCGACTTGATGCAGCAATGTTCGGCTTTTGCCTCCTCCGCTCACCAGCGACTTTGGGACTTTGGATCGACGAGGCCCACACGGAGACAGCAGCGACGAGACGTGAAGAAGTGCGTGATGTGTTTCTTTCTTGCGTCGGGTGGTTTCCAGGGCTGAGGGGCTGAGTTTGTGATCTAGCATGATCTAGCTGTCCTAGAGCAGCAGTTGATTTCTGTGTATTCTTCAGAGCAGAAAGGACTGGACACCCCTAATGTGCGACATAGGATTCAGGGGTCCCTTCGAGTATTAATCAAGATAAGCAAGCCCACAATTTGGGTCCCCAATAATAAACCAGATTTAAACCTAAATGTCCACATTCACCTCCCCCTATTATCAAGCCCATTTGCCATCAGACAATCAAACAAACATGTAGTTCATTGTATATAATTAGCTATTATAGATGCTATTGATATATTGTTTAATGCTGCAACCTACTTCTCTCCACAGTATAGGCCATCCAGGACAGGCATCCCCTCACCACATGGACATAGAGCCTCCATTGCTCATTCCTGCTCCATGCTCTCAGATGCAAGCTTCAATTGGCATGGCTTTGATCTCTCATCAAGCTTGTGCCAATATGGTAAGCTCTCATGGTTCGCATGGTTCCAGCTCTCATGCTTCACACAGAAGCCCATCAACCATCATCTATCATCAGGTCATCACCTTTATTATGGGTTTGTGGTCTCCAATACCTCCAAACTCAAACCTTCCAACAGAGGTTGAAGAACCCTATAGACTATCCCATAGGGACCCCAGTAGGGTCCTATAAGGTCACTTATGTAACCTCTCTTGGTTGTTGACCTTGTTGACCTTGAACGGGGGGTGATCCCAAAATCACAAACAGCACCGAAACGTCCATGGAGTCCATGGAGCCGATTTAGATCAAGCACCCGAAGACGCCCCGCCCAAGATCGAAGCCCACCTGAACATCTAATGGTGCCACTGATATCATACACCCCCCGATATTTTCAGAGGACGTTCAATTCAAAATGGAGAGGGTTTCTTCATCAAGAGCCTAAACCATTCCGACTGCACGACCGCACGCCGCACGCCGAACCCGTCGGGCCGCTCGAACGCACATCGCCGCACTGGGACCTCGGCCGGATCGACCTTCGCGCGGTGCTGTGCTTCAAGGCCGGTCGCGTTCGCCCAAGATCGACCGGAAGCTGCGAGCGAAATCAGTACTGGGTGAAGGAAGGGACCCCAAAAACGCTCCCCAACTGAGCAAAACTCGATCTCACCTCCCATGATCTGAACGTTTGCGACTGCAAGACTTCCACATGCACACACACACTCACATCAAGCACCATTTTAAAGTCGGCCGTTGCTTCCCGGATCCAGTGCTGAAGTCACCAGAGAAGGCATTTGCACGACAACACGAAAGCAGCAGTCGTCCGCCATCGGCAGCGGCCATTTTTTCGCGATGGGCCTCTTGGTTTGGAGGAGAGGCGGTGGGAAAGGATGCAGGAGAGAACCAAGTGATGCAGACAAGATGAGACAACCCTGGTGACAACCCTGTGACACCATTTGCTATGCAACAGGTTTGTGCAAGAAAAAGGTGTTTGTTCTCTTTGGAGGCAGAAGGCTGGACACCATACGGACAGCTGGGGTTGCGCTGTTATTTTTCGTGCCACAAGTACAATTCTGCCCAGCAATGGTCACCGGTTGCTTTGCTGACAGCACTTTATTAATGGCGCTGCACTTTTGGTTGGTTGCAAGATGTTGCAAGCATGACACAAAAGTGCATCTATGTCAAAAAAAACGGACCCGAAGTGAGTGGATGTTCTGGGCACCAATGGCAGGCAAAGCAACACATTTACACACGGACTCCACGCAGGGGGAACATGGGATTTGATGTTTGCATCTGAAAGCACACCGCGTTCGAACACCCGTGGCGTGACAGATACCACCGGTGCAGAACACCAGCTTGGACAGGTACCATGCGAAAGGAAGGCGCCAAGGCGCCACAGGACTCCCAACATCCGGGGTGTTGTCCAAAGGAGACGGTCGGTCCTTCTATTCATGCTCGTCCGCCATCATGCGGAGTCGACTCGGCGGAAGGTCGGATGCTGGATGCGCATCCTTTTCTGACCCTGGAGGGGTGGGTGAAACAAGTCGAAAAGGAATCCATCTTTTACAACATGTTTTGGAGAAGGACATCAGAGCCACATGGCCTTGAAGTTCAACAACAGGGCTCTGACAAAAACGGACCAGGTCATTGAAGGGATCAGTCGACAGGTTGCCTTTTCACCCACCAGGAAAAGACGAGTTGACAGGGAAAGCCCCAGTCGACCGGAAACCGGACTCATCGATTCGGGGGTCCATGGGACCGGAGAAAAGGCCAGGAATGGTACCTACTGACAGATGGTACCATGTGGGGTACCATGTGGCCTACAGACCTAT